TGCCAGAAAGGTTGAGGACCACTGGTCCAGAGTCTCAAAAGAGAAGAAACCACAGCTCGCTCTCTACCTCTCCTCTCAAATGAGAGGACCCTCCCAGTCTCCCCAGTTCTAGCTTTCTGCCCACCTCCCCATTCCTTGGGCATCTCGCCCAGTAGCTGACCTGGCTGTGGAGTCACTGGAGAGCTGGAGGAAAGTTGGAGAAGTCAGAGGAGCTGAGGGCAGGACTGAAGGATCTCCCACTCTAAGCTGAAATTCCACATCTCCCCCCATTTCCTCCGGACATATGGACACCCCCTCCTTACTCAAGTATGGAAAGCTCTGGTGAGACCCCGATAAGGGAGCTGAGTCATGCCTACCCTTACTTTCAGGCTGGTCATGAGCAGACAGCTACATAGCCACAAGAGAGTGAGAACTGAAGAGTGAATTGGGGGTGATGAGGGTATAAAACAAGGCCCCTGGAACTATCTAAGAAAGCTATCCAGTTCCTGCTCTGGCCTGAGAACTTTGCTCCCCTTTCCATCATGTTTTAAGGAACAGCAACAATACCCCCTCCCCCAATGTCCCCTTCCCAGAGAACTCCTCCTCCCTCAAGACATTCCTGAGACGCATTCCAGAGGAGTTGGGCAACTGGAGGGTGGGGGGGGGGAATGCAGGACAGAAGGTCAAATCCCAGCAAGGAATGGAATGTAAGTGTACTACGGGTAAGGAATTTGGGGTATATGGAAAATACAGTCAGAGCAGATACCCACAACGAGAGTTGCAGAAAGACAGGTAATTATAGTGAGAGACAAAGGGAGACAGAAAGCTGAAGACAGTCAGAATAGAAAAGGGTTGGGGGAGTAACACTCAGTCTGTTACCAAATTTGGCCTCTGAGTCTGCAACCGCGAGCAGGGGGAGGAGGGGCGGGGGTGAGGGTTGTGGGTGAGACTGACATATCCGGCCTCAGGCTGCTGGAGGCTCATTTAGGGCTGGACCGGGCAGCTGAAAGGCTGGACCTGACCTCCCCCAACACAGCCTCTCCTCAGCTACACCCCTACTCACGCATATTCATTCTCCCCAAATGTACCCCAGCTTATGCACTGAGCTCTTTCCCACAAAGCTTACACTGTCTCTAAGTACACATTATCTCAAACATGCAGCCTCTACACAGATCCCATCACAACCGTGTTATCTTCTCATAATGACCCTATCCCAGGCACACAGCTTCCCCACAAATACACCTCTATCAGCAAGCACAACAGTTGTCTCATATCACCCCTCCCATTATATAGACATTCTCCCTCCATTCATCTAGCAAGCATTTCTGAAGACTTACTGTGGGGAAGGCACTGGGCTAAAGTCTCAGCGGCTGGGAACCAAGAGTAGGCCCTACCATTTGCCCTCAAGGGGCTCTCAGTCAGCTAAATAAGAATTATAATAGAAGGCAAGATGTAGTAAGAGCCAAGAAGTATAAGTTCAGGGGAGTGATGGGGATCAAAAAGTCTCCATGAAAAGTGTCCTTTGAAGTTAGGATTTTAAAATAAAGATAATAAAGAATAATAGTGATCTATCTTTTTATTGACTATATGGTCCATTGCTTTGTGTACATGATTTCATTTAATCCTTACAACAACCCTGAAAGGTAGGTGTCGTTATTTCCATTTTTACAGTTTAGGAAACTGAGGTTCTAAAAAGCATTTGTTCAAGGTACTTGTCCAAAATCAGAGAGCTAGTAAGTTGTGAAGCCAGGATCTGAACCCAGGTCTGACTCCAAAGCTCAAGCTCTCTCCATTATACCAGCTGGAGATGGGTCAGGGGTCGCATTCCAGGCAGAAATAATAGCATAAGCAAAGGTGAAGAAGCAGGAAATCACGGAGGCACATTCAGGGAAGTGAGTAGACACGCTGGCTGAAGCACAGGGTACCTGCAAGGGAGCAGTGATGGGGAAGTTAGGAAAGGCGAGGGAGGACTAGAGAGAAGTATGAGGAATTTTATCTACTAAAGGGCAACAGGTGGCCAAGAGAGGCTGTGAGCTGAGAAGGGACATATCCAGAACTGGATTTTAGGAAAATAACTGGCAGTTACCTTGGAGATTTGGTTAGGAAGACACTGCATTAGCACAAGTGAGAGGTAATGAAGCCAGAGATAGAATAGTGGAGAGAAGGACGTTGCTCAGAAAATTTAAGAGTTAGAACTGACAGGACCTGATGACAATCCATCATGTCAACTCTCAGGGACCAGGACCCAAAGTCAGGCTGGGATCCCAGAGCTTCTTGTCATCAGTAGCTCCTCAGTGGCTAGGGTAGCTTGAGTTTAAGCAAGAAACTGGGAAGGGAGAAAAAAGGATCAGGTTGCGCTGGGAATGAAAGATGATGAGACTGTGGTTAGGGGATGTTGGTTAGGCTGTGGGAAAAACGGGATGGGGATGTGGTTAGTACCAGGTAGGGGCAAAAGGGATGAGGTTAGTATACTGTGTCAGATGGGTACTAGACTTATTGGGGTGATCCCTTCATAACATATATAAATGCCTAACCACTATGCTGCATACCTGAAACTAATATAATATTGTATGTTGACTGTAATTGGAAAATAAATTAATCAAAAATTAAAATATATGTACATCTTTTTTTAAAAATTAAAAAAAAAAAGGATGAGGTTAGTTACTGTATTGGGCTGGAAATGGGGAAGACAAGTTATAGAGAAAGGCTGGGGAAGACAGGAGTAGGAAAAAATACATATGTAATCGGTCACCAGATCGGGCTGGGGGAAGGGGAAGAATAATTATGTGGAAAGTGGCTAAATCAGAAAATGATAAAGTGAGGTCACAGGCTAGGTCAGGCTACAGGAGGCTGAGAAAAATTGGGGCTGTGGTCAGTGGCGATATTAGGCTGGGATCGGGGGGATAGTGTAGGGACACTGATAGTGTCTAAGTATAGCTGGAATTGCGGGGCGGCGAGGGGCCATGGGATGCAACCAGTGGCTGGGTCAGGTTGGGTAGGGGATAGTGCTATGGTCAGTGGCAGGGTCAAGCTGGGAGTGAAATGGGGGTGTGGTCAGTGGCCTGGCTGGGCGTGGGATCAGCAAGACCCAGTTTCCTCTTTGGGTCTCATTTCCTCTTTTCTCTTTGGGGAGTGGGGGAAGGGGATCTACAACTGGACCAAGAAATTAAGGCGGCTTAGAATCAGGGGAAGGCACATAGCAGGGACCAGGGGTACTTGCCAGTTGTGTTGGACTGAGGGTGGGGTATTCAGCAAATGAATGAGTGGGTGGAAACTATGGGAGAGAGCTATAGTGATGGGAAAGTTCAGATTTGGGTGAGGATAAATTAAAGTAAGATGTGTAGATTAAGGGGTGGAAAGAGAGGCAGAACTGAGGCTAGGACTGGATGATAAGATGGAAAACATGGGAGAATTATAGGCAAGGGAAGTATTCTGTAAGGGAACATGCAGGAAGGGGGTGAAATGCAGGGCTAGGGATGACAGTTGGAGAGGAGGGCTTAATATCTAGGAAATAAAGGAAATGAGTGGCAGTGGAGTTGAACTTTCAGAGGATTCAGTCATCCCTTTATCCCACAGCAACAGCGTTTCCTTGGTCTACTTCCCCCTTAGTCACCAGTCCCCTCTCCCCTAGGCAGTCCCTCCACTATGACTAGGCCTCTCATATATCCTCTGGGTCCTTTTCCCTTTCCCACCTTCTATCGTGTAAACAACAGAGTCCAGGAACCCCTGCCTCTCAACTGTAGTGGCCATAGCAAGAGCCTTGAGCTTAAAGAGCAGAATAAAAGAAACTGGAATCCCGGATGCCTGCAATTCTAGCTGAAGTCCAGAACCATGACCTGAAATTTAGTTTGTTATTTTTCTGGTCAAAGAAGCCGTTGCGACTACACGGGAATAAGAGACTTCCCCGCAAAACAAGAGCATCTACCTACTGCCAATCTCCTAAATTTTACCTGCCTGAGGTCAACTACCCTGACCTCGACTGCAACCTTTAGAACTGCCCCCAATTCCTAACATTAACCCTGATCTTAATTTGTTTACTGTTTCCCAATACAGGCTTCAACATTCATCCCTTTCCTAGCAGGCAGCTTTAACTAACCCTGATCCCTAACACTGACAGAATTTTTTTTTCTTTAGCACCACCCCCCTGACCGTAACCCAAAATGTTGACCCCTAAACCTACAGCTCATTTGTCACTTGATTCCTGATCTACTCCTTCACTGTTTAGCTCTAATATTGACTATGTCATGGTTCTCTAATCCCCAAAACTGAACTTCTAACCTAATTCCTGTTGATGACCCTGAACTCTAACTAACTCTAACTTTGACTTAATGTTGGCCATCCTAGTAAATAAAATGACCTTAATCCAAACTTTACCTACATAAACGGACCCGACTCACGCTAATAACTCTAAGTTTTAACCGTGGCTCTATAACTCCTAAAGTTAACCGGATTCCTAAAGCCAACTCACCTAACCCTAAACTCACCCACTTACCCGCTATCAGCTAACCTCAAAACCAATACCCGCCCTGCACCTCACTGCTACCCCACTTGCCATCTTCCCCCAAACCTATCACAGTTGACTGCTCCCAGGAAGGGCCTGGCTCCTACAAAACGGCCTACTTAATTCCGAGCCCAAGCCCAGATACACTTGACGTTGACCAAGCCAACAAGACCCGAAACAGGAGACGCAGGAGAGTCAGGGGCCCCGCCCGCCCTTCCTCCTCCCGGGCCTGGCTTTGCGGCCCCACCCTGAGGCTCCCGTGCGGCCCCGTCCGGCCTACCTGAGCTGCCTGGCTTGTGCCCCGCCCGCCGGCCCGCTAGCCCGTTAGTTCTCCGGGTGGCTCTCGGGGTCCGGCCTCGCCCTCCCTTCGGCACTCTCTGGGCCACTTCCGTCCCCGGAACGTCCCCCACCCGTGGGCGGCGCCCTTGGCCCGCGCTCTATGGTCGCAGAGACCGCAGGAAGCTGCTCTGGCCCCAGCTCTCGATGCTCGGGAGCCCGCTGAAGACCATCCGCCCTCCCCGGCGGAAGCAAGGGTGCGGCGCAATCCGGAGGAAACGGACGAACTGCGTATGAGTTCCCTTTTAGTCTCTGATCCTTCCTTTTTCTAGCTTGGGGCGAAGGCGGAGCCGGTTCTCCAGAATGTCCGCCCTCAGGGTGTGAGTAGACAGCGGGGACCTCCCCTCTATTTGCATAGCTCGCGGGACGTGGCGAGGCACCTGGGTCACTTCCGCATTAGGGGGTGACTTTAAGTCCCGGAATGTTTTGAGGGTAGATGCGTCACTTCCGTTGTGTTGGACGCTGCAGAGAATTGAGTTTGAGAGGATAGGTCCAGTTTGAGAGCGACCACTAGTACTTAAGGGGAAAGCCGGCTGGAAAGGCACTAGCGGATAGGTGGGGCTGACGGACAATCGGTGGAGGGGTGAACTTCTGTGTTTCTGCCTGTTCTTTCCGTAGGTGTACGGTATGGAGTTGGCGTTGGACCCGGATGACCAGGACCTGCTGGGCTTCCTGCTGGAGGAAAGCGGAGAGTTAGGGGCGGTGCCCAAAGAGGCCATGGAGGCTCCAATGAGCTGGGAGTTACCGCTTTCCCAGGTAGGTGGGCACTGAGGCGCGGGCGCGCGCTGTTCACAAGGTGATGGGTCAAGGCCTTTTAATTTGAACCCTGTGCAGGCACTGAGCGATTGGGACATAGAGGATTTCCTGAGCTCTCTGCAGAGTCCCCCAGCATCGTTGAGCGTTCTCAGCAACTCGAACCCCTGTCTTGTCCACCATGATCACACCTATTCTCTCCCACAGGAACATGTTTCCATAGATCTAGGTGAGTCTGAAATAAGTGAAGTTTTGTGGGGAGAGGACTCATAGACCTGGCTATTCACTTTCCCTTTTGCAGATAGTGAGAGCTATGGAAAAGAGGGGGCCCTGATTCCCTTGCATGTGGAGGAGCCGTCAGAGCAGGTACTTGATTTATGAGAGGATTATTCTCATATTGCATAACTACAGACAGGATTTCTCATTCCTCTCTGACATCCCCTTGCAACTCTGCTGCCCATCTTTCTGTAACCCCAGGAGATGGTTAGGCTGATACTGACAGATGAGGAGAAGAGGCTATTGGAGCAGGAGGGGATTACTCTGCCTGGGACTTTTCCTCTCACTAAGGTAAGACTCCCATTGGTAGAGCAAAGGCTGGGTGAGGGAGGGGTGTTGAGTACCAAATAGGCCAATTCTGTTAATTCTGCATTAGCAACTTGAACAAGGACTGAAGTGAGAAACTTAGCAAATTTGCTCTTAATAGGAACCTGGGGGATGTGGTTGATATGCTGCATGCAGGGGCAGATTCTGATTTTGTGAGGCTTATACAAATTTTGGGGTTCTCTTTTAAATAGAATGCAGAATTATCAGTACATTAGTATAGGGACTTGGAAAGGACTTTGATTTTACTGACACTTTAGATTTCACTGGCTTTATGGTAATCCACCTAGCTGAAAAGGTAGAATTTTTAGAGTTCATCAAGGTTGGACTAAATAGTATAACAAGAATGTAAAATCTTGAGTTTTAAGTTTTAAGCAGCAATGAATGGCAGCCTCATAAGCACGATATTGTGATAACTGTCATGAATTCAATGTTCATTAACAGAAAAGTTAAAAGAATTTTAATTTCTTAAAGTACAAGATGAGTCAACAGAATTTTAATTTCTTAAAGTACAAGACGAGTCAACAGTGAATGGGGTTGGAGGCTATATCAGAAGAGGCTAGTCACTAGAAGGGCAGTGACTATCCTGCTCTCCTTTATACTGGCCAGAGCACATCTTACTGTCCAGTTTTGAGCCCAGATCTTTGACAGTATTAAAAGGACTGTTCATCCCAAGGAGGTAAGATGGTGAGTTAAAAAATTTTGCCCATATTTGTCTTAACACTGAAGAAACGTTGAGTGCCTTAAAATAGCCGAAGACCATTTGTTCTGTATGGCCTCAAACGTTAGGTATCAGGTAAGTCCAATGGATAGAAATTATACAGGCAGGTGTTGGCTCAGGAGAAGGAAGATTTCAAATTAATAAAATTGTTAAAAATGGCCTGGCTTGTGAGGGCATTAACACCTGAATCTCTGAGGCATTCAGCCAGAAGCCAAGTACCTATTGGTCAGGGAAGCTGTAGAAGGGAGTCCTGCATTGGGAAGATTGAATTCAGTTGCCTTCCAACTCTTTGGTCCAACGTTCGGTGCAACGTTCGTCTGATGATACCCCTTTTCCCTGTATTCTCTCAGATGGAGGAACAAGTTCTAAAACGAGTGCGGAGGAAGATTCGAAATAAAAAGTCTGCCCAAGAGAGCCGCAGGAAGAAGAAGGTGTATGTGGGAAGTTTAGAAAGCAGGTATAAATGGCAGAGGGACTCTGGGGTTGGGGGAAACCTAAGTAGCTGGAAGTGGTAGGTTGAAGGGAAGATATAGACCATATCCCTACATCTGCTGTTCCCCCAGGGTCTTAAAATACACAGCCCAGAATCTGGAGCTACAGAACAAAGTACAGCTCCTGGAGGAACAGAATCTGTAAGCAGCTCTCCAACATCAGTTCCTTTTCATCCTTTCCATTTAATGCTGTCTCACTCTTCCTTGTTCCACAGTTGATTTTCAACTGGGCGCCTCCCACATGCAAGGTCTGGAAATTGGCTTTTGGTAGGCCTCTGATTCTAAGAAGCTCACAGTAATAGGGAATAAATTCACAAGTATCTAAGGATAAGTATCAAGAAAGACAAAGGAGGGATTAAAAAAGACCTCACAGGGCAAATGGTGTTTCATAGTAGATAGAATTCTAGGGGGTGGGGTGGGGATAGGGCGAATTCTAGGGAGAACACAGCATAGTCCAGGCTGGCTGGAACCCTAATGTGAGTTGGGCCAGAAGGTGGAGAATCTAGACTGCTTGGTGAGGATTATGTGTATAGCTATTTGGGCAGTATGGAACCAATTGTTTACAAAGGAGTTTAAGTCAGGGTATGGCAGAGAGGTGTGTATTTGTTTTAATGAGGAACTTCAGGCATTTTGTCCACATAGAGGAAGACGTCTGGCAAAATAACAAAAAGTAAAAGTTACTCAGTATTTCTGGATCTCATGTATACAGTAGGTATACATGTTATTAAACTTTTTCTCTTGGTTAAAAAAAAAAAAAAGAATCAAGTGCACAGATGGATGACCTTACCTAACAGGAAGGGATTTCGTTGTATCTTGGTGCCAGGCGAGGGGCTGCTCATTGTCCCCTCTCTTCTCAAAACAAAATAACAAAAAGGTAAAAGTTACTCAGTATTTCTGGATCTCATGTATACGTAGGTATACATGTTATTAAACTTTTTCTCTTGGTTAAAAAAAAAAAAAAAGAATCAAGTGCACAGATGGAGGCATGACCTTAACAGGAAGGGATTTCGTTGTATCTTGGTGCCAGGCGAGGGGCTGCTCATTGTCCCCTCTCTTCTAGGTCTCTCCTGGATCAGTTGAGGAGGCTCCAGGCCATGGTGGTTCAGATAGCAAACAAAACCAGCAGCAGCAGCACCTGTGTCTTGGTGAGGATAGTGATGGAAGGAGAGATCCTTCTCTCAGGTAGCAGGGACAGTTGTAATTCAGAGCCTTTATTCATCTCCTTTTCTTCTGCTCCAGGTCCTGCTGTTCTCCTTCTGTCTCCTCCTTGTACCCGCTATGTACTCCTCTGACACAAGGGGGCGCCTGCCAGCTGAGCATGGAGGTGAGAGGCTTGAGGATACCATTAAAGGTGGACTTGGGGGGTGAAGCCTGGCCTGCTCTTGAAGAGTCTTTGTCTCCTCAGTGTTATCCCGCCAGCTTCGTGGCCTCAGTGAAGACCCTCACCAGCTGGAACTGCCTGCCTTGCAGCCAGAGGTACCAAAGGACAGCTCAGACCGAGAGCTCCAGGCTCCTGGCAATTCTTGCCTGTTCTACCACATGCCTCAGGCTCTTGGTACAGAGCCTCCCATGAAGTTGCCACTCCCTGACCCCTTCTCAAAGTCCCCCCGCCCAGATCCCATCCTTTCCCTGCATGCAAATCTCACAAGAGAGGGAGAATGGGTACCTGCTCACAGCTCCATATGTGTTATCTTACAAGGCAGACACTTAGGCTAGATGTGAGGCTTGGGGCCTCCAGTCTGTGTCAGATTAAAAGGAATGGGGGAAGGCTAGTCTCAGCTCCTGTGCCCTGTCAGGAAACCTGAGGGCTCAAACACACCACTTTTACTGGCTTTCTGGGCCTTTTATTTGTACCCGTGTATGTCCATCACCCCATGAATGGGCCTGGGGGAATCAGCTGACCTTTTTGAACATTTCATGCAATAAGGGGGTGGGGTGAGGAAAGAAATAAATAAGTGATTGTGATGTTTAGGTCATTCTCTACCCCTCTTTACTGGCACAATTGGGTGAGAAGAGAAGAAGCATGATTGTCCCTGGGGCTCAGGTTGCAGGAGGCTGGGAGGAACGGGGAGGAGGAAAGGTGAGGCTGGGCTGTTGGTGCCTCCTTCCCACAGTTCAGAGGGCTCACTCTGGGCTCAGGTTTGCCATGGTTTCCTTTGGTCCGAGTTTAGGCCCTGTGCTAAGTCCTGTGCCCTGTTCAGTTATTGGCCTGGAGGCCCTATTACACTGCTGCTGCTGTTGCAGAGCCAGTTGCATGGCCCAGATGCTCAGTGGCCGCATGTAGGCCAGAGAGCGGAACACTTGGTGCTGGCAGTATGCCTCAGGGGTCTGGAAGGCCAGGCCCAGGCGCTCCCACACAGTACGGTAGCAG